ATTTGGAACGGCCACGATGATGATGATCTCAAAGGACCATGCCCGTTCAGAGCAGGTGCTTTGTAATAATTAAAGCTAGAACATCTAGGCACTAACAATTAAGAGCAACAAAATTAGGTCACATAACTCATACAAACAGTTAACTTCTAGTGCCTTCTAGACTTCGTTTTCATTTGAAATATCTTTACTAAGAGCCATTTCTACCACAAAGCAGACTGTCAGTATTAATGATTTAATGCAGTTTGTATGCTCATGTGAATTTAGAAAGTGAAATGATTCCGATAATTGTCTATATGAAACAATCCAAGAAAAAATTTTATGTATTCCACTAGCGGCATTTGGAACGGCCACGATGATGATGATCTCAAAGGACCATGCCCGTTCAGAGCAGGTGCTTTGTAATAATTAAAGCTAGAACATCTAGGCACTAACAATTAAGAGCAACAAAATTAGGTCACATAACTCATACAAACAGTTAACTTCTAGTGCCTTCTAGACTTCGTTTTCATTTGAAATATCTTTACTAAGAGCCATTTCTACCACAAAGCAGACTGTCAGTATTAATGATTTAATGCAGTTTGTATGCTCATGTGAATTTAGAAAGTGAAATGATTCCGATAATTGTCTATATGAAACAATCCAAGAAAAAATTTTATGTATTCCACTAGCGGCATTTGGAACGGCCACGATGATGATGATCTCAAAGGACCATGCCCGTTCAGAGCAGGTGCTTTGTAATAATTAAAGCTAGAACATCTAGGCACTAACAATTAAGAGCAACAAAATTAGGTCACATAACTCATACAAACAGTTAACTTCTAGTGCCTTCTAGACTTCGTTTTCATTTGAAATATCTTTACTAAGAGCCATTTCTACCACAAAGCAGACTGTCAGTATTAATGATTTAATGCAGTTTGTATGCTCATGTGAATTTAGAAAGTGAAATGATTCCGATAATTGTCTATATGAAACAATCCAAGAAAAAATTTTATGTATTCCACTAGCGGCATTTGGAACGGCCACGATGATGATGATCTCAAAGGACCATGCCCGTTCAGAGCAGGTGCTTTGTAATAATTAAAGCTAGAACATCTAGGCACTAACAATTAAGAGCAACAAAATTAGGTCACATAACTCATACAAACAGTTAACTTCTAGTGCCTTCTAGACTTCGTTTTCATTTGAAATATCTTTACTAAGAGCCATTTCTACCACAAAGCAGACTGTCAGTATTAATGATTTAATGCAGTTTGTATGCTCATGTGAATTTAGAAAGTGAAATGATTCCGATAATTGTCTATATGAAACAATCCAAGAAAAAATTTTATGTATTCCACTAGCGGCATTTGGAACGGCCACGATGATGATGATCTCAAAGGACCATGCCCGTTCAGAGCAGGTGCTTTGTAATAATTAAAGCTAGAACATCTAGGCACTAACAATTAAGAGCAACAAAATTAGGTCACATAACTCATACAAACAGTTAACTTCTAGTGCCTTCTAGACTTCGTTTTCATTTGAAATATCTTTACTAAGAGCCATTTCTACCACAAAGCAGACTGTCAGTATTAATGATTTAATGCAGTTTGTATGCTCATGTGAATTTAGAAAGTGAAATGATTCCGATAATTGTCTATATGAAACAATCCAAGAAAAAATTTTATGTATTCCACTAGCGGCATTTGGAACGGCCACGATGATGATGATCTCAAAGGACCATGCCCGTTCAGAGCAGGTGCTTTGTAATAATTAAAGCTAGAACATCTAGGCACTAACAATTAAGAGCAACAAAATTAGGTCACATAACTCATACAAACAGTTAACTTCTAGTGCCTTCTAGACTTCGTTTTCATTTGAAATATCTTTACTAAGAGCCATTTCTACCACAAAGCAGACTGTCAGTATTAATGATTTAATGCAGTTTGTATGCTCATGTGAATTTAGAAAGTGAAATGATTCCGATAATTGTCTATATGAAACAATCCAAGAAAAAATTTTATGTATTCCACTAGCGGCATTTGGAACGGCCACGATGATGATGATCTCAAAGGACCATGCCCGTTCAGAGCAGGTGCTTTGTAATAATTAAAGCTAGAACATCTAGGCACTAACAATTAAGAGCAACAAAATTAGGTCACATAACTCATACAAACAGTTAACTTCTAGTGCCTTCTAGACTTCGTTTTCATTTGAAATATCTTTACTAAGAGCCATTTCTACCACAAAGCAGACTGTCAGTATTAATGATTTAATGCAGTTTGTATGCTCATGTGAATTTAGAAAGTGAAATGATTCCGATAATTGTCTATATGAAACAATCCAAGAAAAAATTTTATGTATTCCACTAGCGGCATTTGGAACGGCCACGATGATGATGATCTCAAAGGACCATGCCCGTTCAGAGCAGGTGCTTTGTAATAATTAAAGCTAGAACATCTAGGCACTAACAATTAAGAGCAACAAAATTAGGTCACATAACTCATACAAACAGTTAACTTCTAGTGCCTTCTAGACTTCGTTTTCATTTGAAATATCTTTACTAAGAGCCATTTCTACCACAAAGCAGACTGTCAGTATTAATGATTTAATGCAGTTTGTATGCTCATGTGAATTTAGAAAGTGAAATGATTCCGATAATTGTCTATATGAAACAATCCAAGAAAAAATTTTATGTATTCCACTAGCGGCATTTGGAACGGCCACGATGATGATGATCTCAAAGGACCATGCCCGTTCAGAGCAGGTGCTTTGTAATAATTAAAGCTAGAACATCTAGGCACTAACAATTAAGAGCAACAAAATTAGGTCACATAACTCATACAAACAGTTAACTTCTAGTGCCTTCTAGACTTCGTTTTCATTTGAAATATCTTTACTAAGAGCCATTTCTACCACAAAGCAGACTGTCAGTATTAATGATTTAATGCAGTTTGTATGCTCATGTGAATTTAGAAAGTGAAATGATTCCGATAATTGTCTATATGAAACAATCCAAGAAAAAATTTTATGTATTCCACTAGCGGCATTTGGAACGGCCACGATGATGATGATCTCAAAGGACCATGCCCGTTCAGAGCAGGTGCTTTGTAATAATTAAAGCTAGAACATCTAGGCACTAACAATTAAGAGCAACAAAATTAGGTCACATAACTCATACAAACAGTTAACTTCTAGTGCCTTCTAGACTTCGTTTTCATTTGAAATATCTTTACTAAGAGCCATTTCTACCACAAAGCAGACTGTCAGTATTAATGATTTAATGCAGTTTGTATGCTCATGTGAATTTAGAAAGTGAAATGATTCCGATAATTGTCTATATGAAACAATCCAAGAAAAAATTTTATGTATTCCACTAGCGGCATTTGGAACGGCCACGATGATGATGATCTCAAAGGACCATGCCCGTTCAGAGCAGGTGCTTTGTAATAATTAAAGCTAGAACATCTAGGCACTAACAATTAAGAGCAACAAAATTAGGTCACATAACTCATACAAACAGTTAACTTCTAGTGCCTTCTAGACTTCGTTTTCATTTGAAATATCTTTACTAAGAGCCATTTCTACCACAAAGCAGACTGTCAGTATTAATGATTTAATGCAGTTTGTATGCTCATGTGAATTTAGAAAGTGAAATGATTCCGATAATTGTCTATATGAAACAATCCAAGAAAAAATTTTATGTATTCCACTAGCGGCATTTGGAACGGCCACGATGATGATGATCTCAAAGGACCATGCCCGTTCAGAGCAGGTGCTTTGTAATAATTAAAGCTAGAACATCTAGGCACTAACAATTAAGAGCAACAAAATTAGGTCACATAACTCATACAAACAGTTAACTTCTAGTGCCTTCTAGACTTCGTTTTCATTTGAAATATCTTTACTAAGAGCCATTTCTACCACAAAGCAGACTGTCAGTATTAATGATTTAATGCAGTTTGTATGCTCATGTGAATTTAGAAAGTGAAATGATTCCGATAATTGTCTATATGAAACAATCCAAGAAAAAATTTTATGTATTCCACTAGCGGCATTTGGAACGGCCACGATGATGATGATCTCAAAGGACCATGCCCGTTCAGAGCAGGTGCTTTGTAATAATTAAAGCTAGAACATCTAGGCACTAACAATTAAGAGCAACAAAATTAGGTCACATAACTCATACAAACAGTTAACTTCTAGTGCCTTCTAGACTTCGTTTTCATTTGAAATATCTTTACTAAGAGCCATTTCTACCACAAAGCAGACTGTCAGTATTAATGATTTAATGCAGTTTGTATGCTCATGTGAATTTAGAAAGTGAAATGATTCCGATAATTGTCTATATGAAACAATCCAAGAAAAAATTTTATGTATTCCACTAGCGGCATTTGGAACGGCCACGATGATGATGATCTCAAAGGACCATGCCCGTTCAGAGCAGGTGCTTTGTAATAATTAAAGCTAGAACATCTAGGCACTAACAATTAAGAGCAACAAAATTAGGTCACATAACTCATACAAACAGTTAACTTCTAGTGCCTTCTAGACTTCGTTTTCATTTGAAATATCTTTACTAAGAGCCATTTCTACCACAAAGCAGACTGTCAGTATTAATGATTTAATGCAGTTTGTATGCTCATGTGAATTTAGAAAGTGAAATGATTCCGATAATTGTCTATATGAAACAATCCAAGAAAAAATTTTATGTATTCCACTAGCGGCATTTGGAACGGCCATGATGATGATGATCTCATTTGTCTTGCACGGCTTTGCAGGTGTATCCAGAGATTGCCAGTTTTTCATTCTCATGCAGACAGTTGTGGGTTAATAATGTATTGTTCATCAAAAGTGGTCATAATTGCCAACAGAATGCTAATTGATGTCTATCTCTAGTTGTAATTTGTTGATTTTTGTCTGATTTACTTTTTAGAATTTTTTAACCTGTGATTATAACTATTATTGATAATTTGCAAAAGCTAGATTTATAAATGTATTATAGTAAAATTATTTATTTTTAGACACGGCTTTCGAGAAGGCGGCCAGGCAAAGAGCATGAAGCGTGGAGCAGCAGCCACCGGCTCTGCTAAATGAAGGCAGTGATATCTTTGTATAGATACGAAATAAAATTTTTTTGGCAAATCTTAATTTTGATTGTCAAATTGATATTTTTTCCTTAACTTCCTTGGTACCCACCAATTTTTAATTTTAATGTAATTAAATATAAAAAATACTTAAAACCGGAAAAAAACGAAAGAAATGCGTTAATTTGAAGAGAAAGCTTCAAAGTTTAACTTCCCTTTCTCGCCTTTCCGCGAAATCTGACGCCGATGAGTAATTGTGTTTACAGCTGGGTGACCTTGAGAACAGCTGGTATCGTCTTTAGCGGAACATTGATAAGTCTCAGGAGGGTTTAAAGTGGGTGAATACAAGCTGGCCGTATATTTTTCTAAACATTTTTCAAAAATTACGTTTTTTATTGCAATTTCCGACTCCCCCGACTTAAACGTATATATAATAAAATAATTAAAAAACTATTGGAGGTCGTTTTTGACATCAGAAACNACACAAAATGTCAAAAGAAATTTAAAATGCAATTACATCAAGAAATTAAGATGGATATTCTGAATGCAGAATATTAAACCAAACAAAAGCAGAAACACCTATATCACGGCATGGGATAACATTGTACCCCAACAATGCATTTTTGTAAGCATTCGATTATGGTCCTCTTTATGCTCTGCCCCCTTTGCCAATGCCAGAGATCTTCATACAGGGTTCCTATGCACCTGGAAAAGTCAGGCAAAATTGGGGATTTAGATCAGTGTTCCGAAAAAGTCATGGAAAGTCAGGGAATTTGTTTCCTTGATTGCCTTGTTGATTTTGTTTGCTGACAGCATGACTGACCAATTGTAGCTGTCTGCAGGCAGTTAGAAGTATTGTGGTACAATGCAACTATGAAAAGGGAGTGCAGAATATTTTCAGGATCTCAAAATTTTCCCTGAAATTATAGCACACAAAATATACAAGCATACAACAATATCAATTGTTATTTTTTAAATTTTAAAATACTTTTAGATTTTAAAACTGCTGTATTGATTATGCAGTATTATAAATTTGAGAGAGAAATCTAATACTCTTAATAATCTAATGTTGATAAAAAAAATTTTTGTAAAAAAAATATTTTACTTTTACCTCTTGCAATTTACACTTTCAATTTGAGGGAAGATGTTAATGAACTGATGGAAAGAAATGATAACAAAGAACCAAAAATGATAAATAACTTAATATTAATTCAAATGGTATTATTTATCATTTTTCATTTTAATAATATTGATCACATAACAAAATAATTTCTGATTTCTGAAACTGTTTCCCAGTTTATTATTAATTTATAAAGTTTGGAAAATTTATTAAAGGACAAATTTAATAAATTTATACTTTTCTACATGGATTATACTGAATTCTTTTAATAATAATTAACGGCATTTTCTTTTTTCAAAGCTACAAAGTTTTACAGTTATGAGTTAATAACAGGATAAATTATTATTTAATAAAATATTTTAGTTTTTTGTAGAGAAGACATGACATAATTCTGTCTTTCTTATTTTATTTTTGATTTTACTAATTAATTCATCGATCATAAAAAATATATAACTGTTAATTAGAAAAAATAACCAGTTAAAAAGTTGGAGAAGCACTAACGTATGTGCATAGTAAGTTGAGTAATATTTTATTTTGTTAATGTGCCATACTGTAAGAAACATGAGGGTCTGAATTTATACAAAGTTAGTTAGGGAATTTAAAAAAAAAAATTTGAGTAGGAACCCTGTTCATACCAGATACTGAATTGATCATTAAAGGCATGAACAAAATGAGTTAGAATTTTATATGTTGGAAAACCAAATTCCGAACAGCAAAAGAAGTAAAAAGCAATGTGTTGAACACACGACAATTTCAGGACATCATAAAGAAATCACACCAATGGTTTCAACAAAATAGCATAGTCTTGATCAACGGTGGGCAACCCCCGGCCCGCGGGCCAGCTACGGCCCGCGAGATGTTTAGAAGATATTATAAATAAATATTTTTCGATGTAATTCGTCTAGTTTAAATTGAATATTATTTTCTGAAGTGTTGCGGCAGCAATGACAGGAAAAAATAAGGGAGTCATTTCCTTATTAAAACAAAAAATGGGAGAACAGAATTTTTCTAAATTATTTATATCTCATCGCATCATTCATCAAGAAAATCTATGTGCAAAAGCTATGCAATTAGAAAATGTAATGTCTGTCGTATCCAACTACATAGTGCTGTTTTTATTGTGTTTAAAGTCACTTAGATTTTACAAATAGGTGAGCCGTTCACAGCCCGGCACACGCATTTGTAAAATCTAAGTGACTCATACAACATGGAATTCATATAAAACGGAATAATCAACAGTGTTATAGGGGGGTCGACTGTAGTAATTAATTTATTTTTATTTATTTATTTCATATTTGCAGACTAAAAATTTACAGGTCACAAGATGTCAATTAACTACTATGGCCCGCGGAAAAAACATAAAATTTATTCTGGCCCATGTTATAAAAAAGGTTGCCCACCCTTGGTCTTGATGACAAATCAAAAGGAGAGTGGTATTGTTAAAACAATAAACCTACAAAGAGAAATTACTTGAATATATTACAAGCACTGAATGTCAACCGGCACCCGTCCATTATTTTTTATTAAACTTAATAATAAATTTGGACCTGATTTATACTTTAGTTTTACCAACACTTAAAGGCAAAGTGGACTAGTCCATTAAGTCTTTTTTGTGGCCTGGGGCTGCTCTATGTGCAGTGTTTCTATTCCACAGTGTTGAATATTAAACCTGTCCCCATTCTGTTTTTTTTTTTTTTTTTTTTTTACAGTTTGGTGAGGGCAGAAAGTATGTATATTCCATTAGCTTCCTGTATTTAAAATAACCAGGAAGAGAGACCATACAAACTACACTCAATAGAATGGCCTTTTTTTTCTAAGAAATTCCTAAAATTTATATTTCATAATTATTAAGATAAATTATAAAATGAAAATTTTATTCACCAACATGCATATGTAGAAATTTAAATAATGGATTGTTTAAGTCCATTGAAAAGTTTTTTGTTGTTTTAAGACTTTGTGGCAAAGTAAAAGTGCAAGAAATAGAGTGAGGAGTTTGGCATTGTCACAGACTGGGCTTGCAATGATTCAAGTGATGACAGCTCATGTCCAACTCCCAGCTTGTAGTGTTAATTTGTTATTTAAACATTGCGGTTACTTACATTACATGAAATATCTTACATTACAGAATAGAGAATTTTCATAGTGAAAGTTACCAAAAGTTAAGGCAATGATTTAAACAAAAATATTTCGATATCTGTGTCCATAAAGTAGTGGTATTCAAACTGATTCACAGAATGTCCCACCAATGGCCTAGTGTATAAACCACTAAACACTGGTCATGGGTTTGTGTCTGGCCAGTGGGTTGGCCAAATGGAGTTTTATGGGCACTCTTCATGTTAATAATGCTTAAATAGGAGCCAGTTTCTATAAAAGGCTCCAAGGAGGCATTCCCCTCAGTAGATTGCCCACATATGTTACAGTATACCAATAAACCAGACAGATTCACAAAACCCCAGGGTTCTGCAAGCAACTTTTAAGGCTTGTGCAAAGGATATTTATAAGAAATTTTTATTTTCTTATTTTAAATAAAACTATTGAAAATGGCCATTTATAAATGGTACATTATTTAACTATAGGAAACAGTATTTATTACTTTAAAACAGTTGCCATCTGTACAGTAATTTCAGAAATATGCCTTATTCTCAAAATAACTACTGAAAAAATTAATTTGCAAACAGTTATCACCATTTTTGTACTGTATGTATTGACTTCTCAGTGATATTTTTCTCCGCTAGAGGGCTACTAAATTTTTGAAAGTTTTTGCAAGACTGCTAATTGCTATACTTCTAGACCGACCAATAAAATGCTCAAATTGATGTACAAGGAAAAATTGTACAAATACACATTTTGTTGAAATGCCATTATACATCTTATATAAAATATAAATACTACATTAATATATTTTATTAGAGTAGTTTCCATCTAGTGAGCTGTCTAGAACTGAACCTTTTTTGACATAGGGCAGTATTTTCTAAACTAAGAATTCACAAGCATTGGAGGGGTAGACTAAGGTTTATACATATGAAGTAAGTATGATATATAAAGAAAAATAATAATTAAGTAGGTAATGCATTCCTGTTAATGTTCAATATGTTGAAATCGTATGCAAAAACAAATTTTAGATTATGCCATTCAGATGTTTGTTTTGCATGTATTATAAGGGAGAGTTTTAAAAATTTTTTATTGTAAGAAAGGGTCTTACATAAAAAGTTTAAGAGATTCTGACATAGGGGAACCTAGTTAATACTTCTACACATAGAAGACATAAGTGTAATGGATCAAGATAGCTGTAGGATAATTCTCTCGAAGGTTGACAACACTGCTTCAATGCTTTTTTGTGCGTATTTTAAACAAAAAATAAAGAAATAAAAACAGTATCATTATACCCTTGGCAATAAAAATACTCATGCTTGCAGGCAGGACCTGTATTGAAAACTATACTATAGAGATTTGTTTATGTATATAGATCCTGTGGACTGTCACTTACACAAGTTATCCAAGGAAAAGAGTTTAAGATATCCAATCTCATGAACTCTTTTAGCTCTGTTTGGGATAGCTGTGAAAACAATCAAATTTCAGCTTTATAGAGTATTATGAATCACTGAAGTGCTTTAACATTTTTATTTGCTCTCATATGTAGCATGGCCATTTCATATTGCCAAACTTCTTGCTCTATTTATTTGAATTAAACTTGCCATTTGATTATTCAATATAAAATTTTTTTCCAGGGTTAGTCTTTTAATTCCAGCCTAAAGAAGATAATGCCTAGTCTCTGTAATTTCCCCCCTCTATCATTTTTTAATTTCTCAGTCAATCTTGGAAGTTTAAGTAAATGGATTAGAACTGTTTACAAACAAAAACAAAGCTTGCATTATTCAAGATTTTTATCTATATGGTCAAACCTTGGTTTTCAAACAAAATTTTGAATGTCAATTGGCCCCAGA